AAGAAGCCTGGACCCCGGTGTCATCCAGTGGGGGAAAACTGCCTGACAAGCAGTGATGACGTGAGCAAGAAATAAACCTTAATTTTTGTTAAACCACTAAAGTTTAGTGTTTTTATATAGCCTTTTATATTCCTTACACTGATTAATGTGTCCTTTAATTTTTTATTTGAAAGGCAGAGTTACAGAGAGGCAGAAGCAGAGAGAGAGAGAGAGAGAGAGAGAAGGAGAGAGAGGTCTTCCATCCACTGGTTCACTCCCCAAATGGCTGCAATGGCTGGGGCTGGGCCCATCCAAAGCCAGGAGCCAGGAGCTTCCTCCAGGTCTCCCACATGGGGGCAGGGGCCCAAAGACTTGAGCCATCTTCCACTGCCTTCCCAGGTCACAGCACTGACCCCGATGCGTCTTAATATTATTCTGCCTCATAATAAATGTATAGAATATGTGATGGGGTAGCATGGCAGGTTGAGCCACTGCTTGGGACACATGCATCCCGTATCAAAGTGCCTGGTTCAAGTCCCAGCTACTCTGCTTCCAATCCAGCTTCCTGCTAATGCACACCCTGGGAGGCAGCAGGGGATGGCCTCAAGCATTTGGTCCCTGACACCATGTGGGGACACAGATGGAGTTCCTGGTTTTTGGCTTCCACCTGCCCCGGCCCTGGCTGAGGCAGACATCTGGGGAGAGAATCAGCAGAGACGGAGCATGGGATGCAGAGAAAGAGTGAGAGATTGTGCATCAGCTGATTCACTCTCCAAGTGGTCTAGGGCAAAGCCAGGAGCCAGGGACCCCAACTTGGTCCCTCGTGTGAGTCGCAGGGCCCCAAGTACCTGGGCAATCCCTGTGCTGGCCCAGACACATCAGCAGGAAGCTGGACCGGAAGCAGCACCACTGGACTCTAACCAGCACTCGGATCTGGGATGCCGGAGTCTCGAGCACTACAGTGCCTGTCTCTGGACGGCAGCCGCGTTTGGTGTTGGAGAGTGATGGAGTTGAGGGTAAGAATCATCTCTCAGATTGCTTCCTTCACCCAGACTGGCAGAAACGTCTGGCCTACTGAGGCGCTGAATAAGCAATGAATGAATGAATGAATGATCCATTAACCAATCAACTCTGGTCAAACCCAAACCACTTGCTATTCTAAGTCTTATGGGAAAGACCAAAGGAGCTTAAGTTTTGAGTTCATTTGTTTTCAAAGGGAAAAAGTAGGGATGTGAAAAGACAAAGTAGACATGATTTCCAGAAAGCATATACCCTTTTCTACTCCCACTTTTGTCCCTTAAAACAATGTTTATTAGCCTCTGTCCCTTGGAATATTACCCTGTACATTCTCAGAAACTCACATAAGTTGTAGCTCCTGCTTATTGTTGGTATTAACAGATAAAAAAAGTAGGCGAACGTGGAGGAGTTGCCTCCTGGAGGAACAGGCAGAGCCTACCTGTCGGGAAATGCCATTTCTAGCCCTAAGACCTGGAATCGAGCAGAAAGATTTTTGAGGTTGGAAGAGGCTCCATAAATAATGCCTCTCATCCTCCATCAAGTCCGGAATGAATTTAGAGATAAATGCAGGAGACAGAGGAGAAATGGAAATGTTTGATTTATTGCTTGTGCAATATGCAGCCAAATGGAAGCGCTATGAATCTCCACTCTTGAATTAGGCAGCCTCTGCCGCCAAGCCAGGGGCAGAGCTGGGAAGCTGGAAGCTGCCCTCAGCACAGGTGAGTCCCGGCTGCACGGCACAAAGAGAACCAGCAGTCCCTTTCCCAGAGGTCGAGCAGATTTCAAGAAAGGGCTGGGAAGGAGCAGAGCCAAGGCCTGTCCGGTTTTTCCCTCCCAAGTCACCCAGTGGATAAATCATCCCTCCTATCTGTCAGCTCTGGCTAAACAGTACAGCAGGAACAAATAGCCCCAATTCTCAGTGGCCACAGCCACAAAGCTTTCCTGTGCACACGCCCATTGTGGGCTGGCTGCACTCATACATCATTTCCACTCTGGAATCCAGACCGATGAGCAAACGGGTCCATGTCCTGGTGGCTGCTGCTCTGTGGCAGAGGGCAAAGCAGGAGGCTTGTGGACCACACGGTGCAAGGGGTAGATTGGTCTGCTCTCATGCTGGTGGCCAATGCAAGTGACATGGCCAAACCGCAATGGGATGGCATGCTTCAGCCCCCTGAAAGGGGTGGGCAGTAACGGCTTTGAAGAAATAATACAGTCAGGGTTGGGATTGTGGTACAGTGAGTTAAGCCTGGCCTGCAACACTAGCATCCCATATCAGAGCACAGGTTCAAGTCTCAGCTGCTCTGCTTCTCCAGCTCTCTGCTAATGTACCTTGAAAGGCAGTGGAAGGTGGCTCAAGCGCTTGCGTGGGCCCCTGCTGCCCATGGCGTAGACTTGCATGAGTTCCGGGCTCCTGGCTTTAACCTGACCCAACCCCAGTTGTTGCAGCCATTTGAAGAGTGAACCAGAGGGTCTCTCTCTCTCTCTCTCTCTCTCTCACACACACACACACACACACACACACACACTGACTTCCAGATAAATAAAATAAATCTCAAAAAAATACATGCTCTACTCTACTTCCCTTGAAGAAAAAAACAAAGACCTGGGATTAATTTTTCCCAGTCTGTACCCAAAGAGCAAAGGAAAATGTGTGGTTGCTAAGCACACTTCCCCTCAGCAGCCTTCCATGGAAGTCCCCTGTGGGTTCTGCAAACAAGTCCCACCTGTCCCATGCCACCTGCTGCCGCACGTGAACACCTGACAGAGGTCTTGCTCTGGCTTCAGGACATGCTGTGCCCACGGGCAGAACAAACCCGTACTACGAGGGAGCTACCCCAGAAGGAGCGACCTTCAGCCAAGGGGGAAAGTCGTCAGCACAGGTAGTCCCAGCTTCCTCCCCTCTTGGTAGGACAATTTTGGGCTGTTTCATCCTACACAGTCTCCCCAAGGACTCACAGTGGAAATGAGGCGAAGTTGCCCACCGTGGTAACTTGCTCAGAAATGCACCTTTTCCTTTCTTCTTTTTAACATTTTTGTTAGTTAAGTTTCATTCTATTTGGGGTGGGGGTGGGGGGGCTGGGGAGATCTTCCATCCAGTGTTTCACTCTCCAAATGCCCACAACAGCCAGCCCTGGCCAGGCTGAAGCCAGGAACCCAAAACCCCATCCAGGTCTCCTACGTGGGTATCAAGGACCCAATACAGCTGGGTCAGTCTGAAGCAGGCTCTCTGACCCTGAGTGTGACCGTCCCAGGTGGAGATGTCACCCCTGCACCAACTGCCCTCCTCCTAGTCTGTCCCTTCTTCTCTTCCTTGCCTACTTCCTTCCCCACTGCCTCCCCATGCGCCCAAGGCCCTGTGTCGGGATCTCTTTCGAAGGAAACCAGTTAAAACAGGGATGGAAGTTTCTTCTCTCGAGGGCCCACTTGCTGATGGGTGGATGAAGAAAATGTGCAGACGGGGTACTATTCAGCCCTGGTGAGGAAATCCTGCAGTCCATGCAGAACCTCGAGGACAGACACTGCACTGAACGGATTAAGCTGGTACAGGAAGTAAAGGCTGCATGTTCTCACTTGCAAATGTGGACGCTAAGCTGGCTGAGCGCATGGAAGCATAGAGCAAGCGGAAGGTCTGCCAGGGGCCGCTGGGAAGCAGAGAATGAGAAGCTGTTGATCAAAGGGTACCAAGTGCGGTCAGCACTGTGGTGAGGCGGTGATGCCATCACCAGGGACACCAGTCGAAGTTCTGGTTGCTCCTCTTCTGATCCGGTGTCCTGCCAGTGCACACCCTGGGGGGCAGCAGATGGTGGCCTTAGTGCTGGGGCCCTTCCACCCATGTGGGAGACCTGGATGGAGTTCCTGGCTGTTACAGGCATTTGGGGAGTGAACCAGTGGATAGAAGATCTCTCTTTCTTTCTCTCTCTGCTACTCGCCCCGCCCCCGTGTCCTTCTGCCTTTCAAAATAAAATAAATAAATCTTTAAGAAAAAAAGGTACAAAGTTTCCGTTAGATTGGAGGCATAAATTCTGGAGAGCTGCTCAGTTTGGTGACTGTGGTTGATAACAAAGTATCAGGTACTCGAGCTTGGGTAAGAGAGATTTTAAACGTTCTTGCCAAAAAAAATTGACAGGTTTGTGAGGTGACGGATATGTGAATTCACTTGATCGAATCATCTCACAATGTACACAAAGATCAAAGCATCACATTGTACACTGTGAATATATATAATTATTTGTCAATTTTTTAAAAAAAATTTTAAAGATTTATTTACATTTTTGAAAGTCATAGTTATACAGAGAGAGGAGAGGCAGAGAGAGAGAGAGGGAGAGAGGTCCCCCTTCCGCTGGTTCACTCCCCAATTGGCCACAATGGCCAGAGCTGCGCTGATCCGAAGCCAGGAGCCAGGAGCCCACTCCGGGTCTCCCACGTGGGCACAGGGGCCCAAGCACTTGGGCCATCTTCCACTGCTTTCCCAGGTCATCAATGAGAGCTGGATCAGAAGTGGAGCAGCCGGGTCTCGAACCGGTGCCCATATGGGATGCCAGCACCTTAGGCCAGGGCGTTAACCCACTGTGCCACAGTGCCAGCCCCTAAAAATATTTTTTTAAATATTTATTTCCTAATCTCTGGTCATTTTTGAGAAATTCTTCTGCCTATGAAACTTTAAAAAAAAGATTTATTTTATTTTATTTGAAAGAGTTACAGAGGAAGAGAGAGAGAGACTCTTCCATCTGCTGGTTCACTCCCCAAATGGCCTCAAAGGCCAGGAGCCTGGAACTCCGTGTGGGTCTCCCACTTGGGTGCAGGGACCCAAGCACTTGGGCCATCTTCCACTGCTTTTCCAGGTCATTAGCGGGGAGCTGGATTGGAAGTGGAGCAGCCGGGACTCAAACTGGCGTCCATACAGGACACTGGCACTACAGCCCCGTAGATTTAAGCTGTGCCACAACGCTGGCTTCCTACGCAGCTTAACAATCACAAAACAGACACCAGGGTGCAAACTGAACTCTTAAAACCACAGCAAACTTTATGTGTTCAATGCTTTCCTGCCCCGAGCCCCAGTATTAATTCTGAGGCTAGCCGCGTGTGGTGTGTGCATCGCCATCCTCCGCCGCGGAGGAGGGAACCGAGGCTGAGACGCAGCTCCTCGAGGCACCGACGTCTCCAGCCGTGCGCTGACCTGGAGCACGCACGAGGGAGGCTTCTGGCTTGGTGCCAGATGACCTTGGCCGTCTCCAGGCCAGAGGCCGGCTTCCACATCTCGGCGCCTCTCTCTCCTTCCAGCCTGTAATTTCGATTTCTCCACCGTCCTGTGTCTCACACACAGCTCCTGCACATTGCACAGGTGGTGAGTGGCTCCTCGCTGGAGGGACTGTTCCAGGCTCCACGTTTATGACTGCAGAGACGACTGGGAGATCCCCACTCTCACAGAGCTTATATTCTAGGAAGGGGCAGAGATAAAGAGCAAGAAGAATGTTAGGTGGTGGCAAGGGCTACTCACGGAAGCAAGACAGGATGATGCGATGGATGGGAGTGGGGAGAGCAGAGAAGCCTTCTGCTCTCGGAGGGCGCTGGTTCGAGTCCCGGCTGCTCCACTTCCGGTCCAGCTCCCTGCTAATGTGCCTGGGAAAACAGCAGAACATGACCCAAGTGCCTGAGTGCCTGCACTGATGTGGAAGACCCAAAAGAAGCTCCTGGCTCCTGGTTCCTGATTCCTGGCTTCTGCCTGGCCCAGTCCTGGCGTTGCGGCCATTTGGGGAATGAACCAGTAGAAGGAAGAGTCTCTCTCTCTCTCTCTCTCTCTCTCTCTAACTCTGCCTTTCAAATAAGTAAAAGAAATCTTAAAAAAAAAATTTATTGGGGTAGACACTGTGGCATAGTAGGCGAAGCTTCTACCTGCACTGCAGACATCCCATGTGGACGCCAGTTCGAGTCCCGGCTGCTCCTCTTCAGATCCAGCTCATGGCCTGGGAAAGCAGTAGAAGATGGCACAAGTGCTTGGGAGACTCGGAAGAAGCTCCTGTCTCCCTGCTTCAGATCGGCTCAGCTCTGGCCACTGCAGCCATCTGGGGAGTGAACCAGCAGATGGAAGACCTCTCTCTCTGTTTCTCCCTCTCTCTGTCTGTAACTCTTCCTCTCAAATAAATAAAATTTTTCAAAAATTATTTATTTGTTTGCAAAGCAGAGCTACAAAGAGAGAGGTGGGGGAAAAAGGGGGACAGAAAGAGAGAAACGGAGAGATCTTCCACCTGCTGGTTTACTCTCTAAATGGCTGCAAAGATCAGGTCTGGGCCAAGCTGAAACCAGGAGCCTGGAACTCCATCTGGGTCCCCGACACGGGTGCAGGGACCGAAGCACTTGGGCCATCTTGCACTGCCTTCCCAGGTGCATTAGCAGGGAGCTGGACGGGAAGCCGGGCAGCCAGGACACAAACTGGCCCTCCGATATGCGATGCTGGCTTTGTAGGCAGTGGCTCAACGCGCTGCACCACAACAACGCCCCTAAGAGGGTCACGTGTAAGCTCAGAGCTGAATGAGGTGTCAGCCAGAGAAAGACACAGCGGAAGAGCACTCCCGGAAGAGAGAAGAACATAGAGCAAGGCCCTGAGGGGGCCCTAGCTCATGAGACCCTTCCCCCTGGGTGTGGCTTATCAGAGGCAGCCCTGGCTTCAGTGCTGTGCTGGGGGGAGACAGGACAAGGCGTGGCCTCCCAGCTTCCGGGCTCAGGACCCCTCCCCTCTCCCCACCCATAGCAGCCCATTTTCTCTGGACTCTACCTGGCACCTGGAGTCGGCTCCCACCCCCAACCCTGGGGGAAGTGAACAATTCCTTTGAGATTCTACAGTGGCACTGTCCCATGCCCTACTGGCTCTGCCCCAGAATTTGACAACCCTGTATCAGATTTTCACCTCCCTCCTAGACGAGGGGCTGTGTGGGAGCTGGACTCTCTCTCATGACGAGAGGGCTGCTCCAGTTTGCTTGTTGAGCTCCCCAGCATTTTGCCTGTCTCTGGGTCTCAGGAGTGGAGCCGAGTTCAACCAGCGCAGGGCAAGGCAGGGGAAACAGGCACTTGGCTAGCAGCTGGGCAGGGCAAGGCAGACCTGGGAGGGGCTAGCAGACCCGGGAGGGGCTCACCCGCCACTAGCACAGGCCGTCTCTTCCTGGAACCGGAATCCTGGGGCCAACACGCAGAGCCCGTCTGTTGATGTGCTGAGTCACAGGGCTCCCCCTGGACTGGTCGGACTGGTTGGCCGCCCTGCGGACAGTCTGGGGCACGGCTGTCACCTTGCACGTGACAGCTCTTGCTTTACCGAGTCCACGTCTTCCGGTGTTGTGATGCTCCTTGTTGGGGGGGGGGGGGGAGGGGCTGTCCTCCAGCTGTGCACCAAGAACGCAGCATGGGAAAGTATTTGGGCGTCTTTGAGACTGAAGATGTCTTGGTGCAAACATTTGTAAAGGTGCGTACCTGGTTGGTATCTGCCCTGCGAACAGAATTCTAGCTTGCAGATCATTTTCCTTCAGATTTTTGTAGCTATTCGGTCCCCTGCCAGTGTCCCCAGTGACTTCAGTGCCGAGGCGTTACTCCCTTGCCAACATCAAGCACTGGATGGCTGTACTCTCTGCGTGCCGCTGACTTACGGCTTTGCTGTCGACACGTGGGCACGTTCCTTCCCTCTCAGCGCAATGCTAAGAAGTGAATCGGCAGCTCTGCGTGCAGGCGGGCCTGTCCGCTCGGAGCGCCGCGGCAGGGGGATCCTCGGGCTGTTTCTGGAAGACCCAGGCTGCCAGTGTTCGCAAGTCTTTGCTCTAAGCCATCCTCTCCCGCCCCCTCCCTGGAAGGTAAGGGTTTGGTTGCCAGAGTTCCAGAGAACAAGCCGGGAGCCGGGGCTGGGCGGGTAGGTGTGGTGGGGTCCTGGCATTGAGCATTTGATTCCCTGTGTCATGTGTATACTCAGGTCTTTACCTGTGCCGGCATCCCCCAACCCAGAGAACCTATTGTACCCCCCTGAGAACCTTCTAGACTTCTGGGGGGCGCGGCAGGATCAGTGGTGGGGTGAGAGGGCACCGAGGTCTCTCACGGCTTCCTAAATAGCTCCCCCCTAACCCGCCTTTCCTATTTTAGCACCCATCCCCCCCGCACCCCCTCGCTCACCAAGGGACCTGCACTGCCGGCCTCTTTGTTTTTGGCCGCGTGAATCATGGCGGCGTGGGGCCCAGCCTTCCCAGGCCTGCTCGTCCGTCACCCCCCAACTTCTCCTCCTGCGGCTGTCCTCTCCCATCCTGTTTTTCCCAACATTGTGGGTTTTTGTCTCTCTGTTTTTAAAATTCCTCTTCTAGAAGTTCTAGTGGGGTTTCGGAGGGGGGAGGGCCCAAATTGGATTCACATGTTCAGTCTGCCACTGTAACCCGAACTCTGCCCTGAAACTCAAATCCAGCCCGCCGCTGGAAGTCTGCAGGGCGAGCTCTCCCTGGTCGCGGAGAACTCAAGAAGTCAGCTGATTACACCCACGGTGCTCCAGCTGACCACCCGGTGCTCCAGGGCCTCTGGGGACACAGAGGTGTGGAGGCCAGGGTGCCCCTGCTCTTGGATGGCAGAGAAGCAGAAGACACGGCCGCTGAGCCTACACTGACAAGGCCACTGTCCCACACCCAGGATCACAAGGCGCTGTGGCACAGTGGGTAAAGACACCATCTGTGGCGCCGGCATCCCACGTGGGCGCCGGTTCAAGTCCGGCTGCTCCACCTTGAAGCCAGCTCCCTGCTAATGCATCTGGGAAAGCAATGGAAAATGGCCCGAGTGCTTGGGCCCCTGCACCTACATGGGAAACCCGAAAGAAACTCCTGGCTCCTGGCTCCTGGCTTCAGATCAGCCCAGCTCCAGCTGTTGCGGCCATTTTGGGAGTGAACCAGAAGATGAAGACCTCTCTCTCTCTCTGTAACTCTGCCTTTCAAATAAGTAAATCAAACTTTAAAAATAATGATCATGAAAAGATGATTTGTTGAACTGGCCCCTCAGGACACGGTCCCCTGTTCCGTGTGATGGACAGGGCGTGATGTGGGAACTAACTTGGTTGCCCTCGAGGGGACGGAGGTCGCATCTAGAAAATGCACTTGTGCAACTGTGACAGCTGCAGGTGAATGCGCCGTTCTCCGTGGAACACCACGTGTACTCGAGACAACAACCGTGAGAGGAACATCACAGGTCTCCAGGTCTGAGTCTCCCCAGCTGCTTTCTTGAAAAGGAACACAGCGAGCCTGTCACCTTCAGAAAACAACAGACAGCGTTGGTCGCCAATGAGAAAATACGAGCTTTCAAGCATAAAGTAAAACACTGGAAATTTTACACAACAGATCTGACAGCTTTCAATGCTAAAGAATTTCTGGTGAGAACAGTGGCGGCCTTTTTTTTTTTTTCTTTTTAAAAGGTTTATTTATTTGCTTGAAAGGCAGAGTTACAGAGAGGCAGACAGAGAGAGAGAGAGATAGAGAGAGAGAGAGAGAGGTCTTCCATCCGCTGGTTCACTCCCCAGATGGCCGTGACAGCTGGAGCTGCACCTATCTGAAGCCAGTATCCAGGAGCTTCCTTGGAGTCTCCCATGCGGGTACAAGGGCCCAAGGACTTGGGCCATCGTCCACTGCTTTCCCAGGCCATAGCAGAGAGCTGGATTGGAAGTGGAGCAGCCGGGACTAGAACCAGCACCCATATGGGAGGCCGGCGCTGTAGGTGGCGGCTTTACCTGCTATGCTACAGCACCAGCCCCAGTGGTAGCCTTAATGACAGAGATTTTTCCCCATTCTACAACACTACGCGATGGGTCGATGTTCGGAAGATTTGCGTGAGCCAGTGACTCCGACACCTTAACCTCGTGCACGAGGTCGAGGTGTGATGCTGCAAACTCCCGCTGCAGGAACTCTTCCTTCTGGACGTGAGAAGTCTGGATCGCCAGCACCACCAGTGGGGCTGGCCTGCAGCACGTGCTCCAGGGGGTGGGAGCGCGACGTTCCAGCCAAAGTTCCCGGATGCTGAAACCGTATTCCATACTGCAAGTCACCTTTGAGAGACGCCTTGTGGTGCAGCGGGTTAAGGCCCCAGCTTGCAGTGCCAGCGTCCCATATGGGTGATGGTTCGAGTCCCGGCTGCTCCACTTCCCATCTAGCTCCCTGCTATGGCCTGGGAAAGCAGTAGAAGATGGCCCAAGTCCTTGGGCCCCTGCACCCATGAGGGAGACCCAGAAGAAGCTCCTGGCTCCTGGCTTCAGACTAGCGCAGCTCCAGCCATTGCGGCCATCTGGGAAGTGAACCAGCAGATGGAAGACCTCTCTCTCTCTGGCTCTACCTCTCTCTGTAACTCTTTCACATAAATAAAATAAATCTTAAAAAAAAAAAAAAAGAAGAAAGAAACGCCCACTTGTTGAATTTTGGTGTAGTATCAGAGAAGGCTGCTGCAAAGTCTGAGAGGCCGTTGGGCAGCGCTCATTTCCAGGCACGGATTTGGGGAGGGCCTGCTTTCTACATAAGCATCAGCACCGCACGTGGCAACTGACTACAGAGCAAAGATGAGAATCGAGTTGTTTGCTGCTTAAACCAGATAACAACACCTTTCTTTCTTTCTTTCTTTCTTTCTTTCTTTCTTTCTTTCTTTCTTTCTTTCTTTCTTTCTTTCTTTCTTTCTTTCTTTCTTTCTTTCTTTTCTTTCTTTTCTTTCTTTTCTTTCTTTTCTTTCTTTTCTTTCTTTTCTTTTCTTTCTTTCACAGGCAGAGTGGACAGTGAGAGAGAGACAGAGAGAAAGGTCTTCCTTTTGCTGTTGGTTCACCCTCCAATGGCCACCACGGCCGGCCCACCGCACTGATCCGATGACAGGAGCCAGGTGCTTCTCCTGGTCTCCCATGGGGTGCAGGGCCCAAGTACTTGGGCCATCCTCCTCTGCACTCCCTGGCCACAGCAGAGAGCTGGCCTGGAAGAGGGGCAACCGGGACAGAATCCAGCGCCCCGACCGGGACTAGAACCCGGTGTGCCGGCGCCGCAAGGCGGAGGGTTAGCCTAGTGAGCCGCTGCGCCGGCCACAACACGTTTCTTAAAAACACTGCCAACCTTCCTCACCAGTTCTCTTTGTCTTGGGAAATTTCACTGTTTTTCACAAAAGTACTCACAGATGATAGGTTTACTATTTTTCATTTTCATTAATAAATAAATAATTTGTAAATAGTCTCACTCTTATTATCTAATATGGTATGCTTCAATAGATATAATCCACAAGTTCTCTGGTAGGCTCACATAATTTTTTTTTTTTAAGATTTGCTTATTTATCTTGAAAGTCAGAGTTACAGAGAGAGAAGAGAGAGAGCTCTTCCATCTACTGGCTCACTTCACAGATAGCACCCAAGGCCAGCACGGGGCCAGGTTGAAGCCAGGAGCTTCTTCTTAGTCTCCTACAGGGGGTAGGGGTCCAAACACTTGGGCCATCTTCCACTGCCTTTCCCAGGCGATTAGCAGGGAGCTGGATCGAAAACCAGACAGGAACCGGTACCCGTATGGGATGCCAGCATCCCAGGCAGCGGCTTTACCTGCTAGGCTATAGCACCAGCCGCGCTCAATAACTTGTAAGACAGCAAAGAAGGTCCTGAGATAAAAAATGTTGAGAACCGTTGCTACGAGCTAAGAGGAATCCAGAGCAGGTTTGAACAAGCGGAGAGAGATTTTGTTCTAGAAAGAACCTTCTTTTTTTTTTTTTTTTTTTTTGACAGGCAGAGTGGACAGTGAGAGAGAGAGACAGAGAGAAAGGTCTTCCTTTTTGCCGTTGGTTCACCCTCCAATGGCCGCCGCGGCCGGCGCGCTGCGGCCGGCGCACCGCGCTGATCCGATGGCAGGAGCCAGGAGCCAGGTGCTTCTCCTGGTCTCCCATGGGGTGCAGGGCCCAAGCACTTGGGCCATCCTCCACTGCACTCCCTGGCCACAGCAGAGGGCTGGCCTGGAAGAGGGGCAACCGGGACAGAATCCGGCGCCCCGACCGGGATTAGAACCCGGTGTGCCGGCGCCGCTAGGCGGAGGATTAGCCTGGTGAGCCGCGGCGCCGGCTTAGAAGGAACCTTCTTAAAAGTAGGGTATAGGGGCCGGTGCCGTGGCTCTCTTGGTTAATCCTCCACCTGTGGCGCCGGTATCCCATATGGGCACCGGGTTCTAGTCCTGGTTGCTCCTCTTCTGATCCAGCTCTCTGCTGTGGCCTGGGAAGGCAGTGGAGGATGGCCCAAGTGCTTGGGCCCCTGTACCCGCATGGGGAACCAGGAGGGAGCACCTGGCTCCTGGCTTGGATCAGTGTAGCTCCAGC